AAGCAGAGGTGATGGTGGAGACATCATCTCGCCAGCAAGTGCGTTTAGCGTCACGGATGACACGGGTAGCGATCACACGCTTCTGCTTAAAATCAAGAAGTCTCTCCGTGGTTCTACTGTACCGGTACCTGCCTCATGCAGCGCGTTTCAAACGTACTGCACGAGCACAAGCAGGAGACCACCAAGGCACGCATTTCTGAGAATGCCTGCCCGAAGTTTGGGGTATAGAATGAGAAGCTGCGGTTAAAAAGGAGGACGAGAAGAGGTGTAAAAGCTCATCAATGGAGGACGAAGAAGGAACCTCACTAAAAACAGTTAGTTGTGAGTAAAGGTTCCAATTTGCCTGATCAAATTGCCAGCGTGGGATACGAAGAGGTGGTGAATATGAAGGGGAAGTAAGAATGATTGGGAAATGATCGCTGTCATGTAAATCTGGGAGAACAGACCAGGTGAAGTCTAATGCGGCGGAGGAAGAGCAGACTGAGAGATTGATGCAAGAGTGTGTGAATCCGAGAATCAAAATGGGTGCGAGTACCTGTATTTAAAACATGGAGGGGGTGGGTAGCAAGAAAAGCCTATAACTGAATGCCACGGGAATCACAGAGACCCTCCCCCAGAGGAAATGATGGGCATTAAAATCGTTAATTAACAGAAGCGGTGGTGGTAATGACGAAACAAGAAAGGCAATATCCGAAATAGATAATGCCCGAGAAGGAGAGAGATATAAAGAACAGAGCATATACCACCTATGCAAGTGGATACGGGCTGCTGTGTAATGCAGCGAAGTACTAACAAATAGCTGATGGTACGGAATATCATTGCGTAGAAGAAGGGCACTTTCAATAAAGGTCCCATCAGGAAAAGGATCTGAAGAATACAATAAATTATAGCCTGAGATGGGATAGATAACAGCAGAGTGTAATTTTGGTTCCTGTAAGCAAACACCAACAGGGGAAAACTGGGAGAGTAACATCTGAAGCTCACCCTGATTACCCCTGAGGCCGCGTATATTCAACTGTAAATAGGCCATGACTGGCAACGATAAAGATACCTGAAATCCGCAGGTAACGGTTCCTACGGACCAGAGGAGTTAGAAAAGTCCACATGCGGAGGCAGCGGAAAACATTCAAGCAGGGAAGGAACGGTGCTCTGCAAAGAAAGAAGTTGCGCAGATAGAGGAGAGGAGAGAGAAGGAACAGAGGGTGGATCAGTGTCCATTGATGGTTTGGTCTCTGCAACATATTCAGAGATTGCTTCAAGTGTTTCGGAATTCAGAGACGTCATATGGGAGACAATATTGGAGATGGTAGGGGGAGGATGAGTAAAGATTGAAACTGTAATGGACTGTACCAAGGTAGGGGGGGGGGCAAAAGGGTGGAGGGAACTGGAGAAGCATGGAAGGGGACAGAAGAGGCAGAAACCTGGGAGGTGGCAGAAGAGGAAGAAACTTGGGAGGGAACAGGGGAGGAAGCTACAGTATGAGGAGGGTGAACCTCTACACTTGTAACAGAGCCAGTGAGAGGGGAAGAACCAGGTACAGAGATGGGGAAGGTAAAATGAGGTGGTGGAAGAAGGGAAGGAGGGGTTAAATTACCTTTTTTTGACTTCTGAGAAGTAGAGGGATGATTGGAAAGGAGGTGTCGTACAAGATCTCGTCGATACCAAGGCTTGTGAGGGAGAACACGAAGAAGAGAGAACAGAGTGAAGCATTGAAGTAGGGACATCTGAGCCCAGGACAGCAAAAGAATTAGATACAGGAGTGACTATTGGAGAGGTAACCACAGAGGAGGCTGCAGAAGATTAGACCCCAGAAGTGGGGGGACTCTTTGAAACACGGGAATAAGAAACACGAGGTAGTCTTCCTTGGAGGCGGAGATTAGAAACTGCCATGGCATAAGGGAGACCTTCTGCCTCTTTGAGGTAACGGATTTCCGGCTCATTTAAGTAGACTTGGCAACGGCGAGAATACGAAGCGTGAGCCTCATGACAATTAAGGCAAGAGGGAGGTCGATTGCAAGACGTATTAGAATGGTCATCGGCACCACAGACTGGGCATTCAGCTATAGATCTGCAATATTTTGCTGGATGGCCAAATCGCCAGCAATTTCTACATTGTTGCGGTGTAGGGATCACCTTTTGAACTTGTAACTGATGTCCTGCTACATAAACTGAGGATGGGAGTTCACGGCTGTCAAAAGTTAAACGAGCCACATTGCTAGGGTATCGTCTCCGCCCGCGGGCAGGAAGAACATAAGTGTCTACCTTGAGGATTGGGAGATCTTGGAGTTCCAGCTGTTCAAGAATGTCATTGCCACATGTCTGGAAATTTTGAACTATGGTATGGGGCAGAATGACGGTACCACTACAAGAATTGAGGGAATGATGTTTTTCAACAGTGAGAGGAACAGTATCAATATGGGAAAGAAGAGAAAGATCATGAGCTTGGGTAGCATTCTGTACAGTGATGATGCACGTCCTGCTCTTAAGAGCATGAAAAGAAATATCTTTACCAACATGGCGTAGGAGTGCCTTGCCAATACTATGGTCGGAAAGATAGGCAATAGAGGAAGCCGGTCGTAAAGTGAAGAATTTAGTCCATTGTGCATTCTGAAACTGAGCGTGGAAAGGGAGTGCAGGACGTGTCGATCTTTTCTGAGAAGAATGAGAAGGTGGAGAAGTATCATCAGCAGGTAATTGTCATTGCCGTTTAGGAGTGGGACCAGAGTTGGTCCGACGTGGAACGGGCCGGCGATTCGAAAATTGCTGCACCGTAGAGGTAGAGGCCGGAAGCATAGTCAAAGGAGAGCGGAGGTCAGATAAATCGAAGGAGTCAGTCTAGACCTCAGTACCTGAAGCGGGTGAGGAAACAGCACCGGCAAGAGGTACAGAGGCATGAAGAGTGTCCGAAGAGTGGTCCAAAGACGAGGCGGGGTCAGAATGGGGTGCTGTACCAAGAAGGTGCCCGAGGGTAGCAGGTTCATGGACTAGGGCTTCCATGGTTAAGTTACTTCTTTCTTTTTGTTTTTAAGAAAAAAAAAAGAAAAAAGAAAAATAAAAAAAGGGGGGACCGGGGAGAGAGAGTTCCTAGGAGGAATGAAAGGGCCAGAAATCTCCCTCCGTGCCCAAGAGGACCTCAGCACCGCAAGTAGCATAGATGCAGCATGGAACCCGTGCCATACCCTACCCATCATGCCAGTAAACCAGCAATCCGGGATAGTAACCTCACATCTGCCGAGCTACCTCGGTGGACAAGAGAGGGGGCGGCCGGATATCCACCACAAAGCATACCTCCTTTGGCCACCACCCCCGGAATCCGAAAGGCAGCCTCCAGAGATACACCCGTCGCCCTAAAGATACCCAAAGCCACTCCCCGGGAGACCGGAGAGGGATTGGGACATCCCCAGGCGATCCAGATTCTACGGCAAACTACACCACCACCAAGAACCTCAACGGAATGGGATGGACCCCAGTACCCTTTCCCCTACCCAGGAACTAGCGTGCCTGTGAAAAAAAAAAAAAAAAGGCCAAAAAGAAGAAGGGTAAGAGGGAGGGGTGGGGAGGAGGAGGAGGAGGAGAAGAAAAAGGGATGATGGGGTAAGGGAGGGGGGATTGGGGGGTAATTAGGCTCAGTCTGAGGAAGGAGACCAACAGGTCTAATTCCTCAGACGAAGAGCCTCTTCACCATGCCAAGGAGCCCCCCTTGAAGAGGTTTCTGTATGTAAAACTACAGTTATTGTCATTAAAATATATTTTTTTGTTAATACTTTTGGGTGTATGAAATGGATTAATTGGATTTACATTATTTCTTATGAGAAATATTGTTTCAGTTTTCATCAGACTTTCTGGAATGAATTAAAGACAAAAACCAAGGTTCCACTGTACCAGCATTTATATTACAGAATGAAGGCAGGTTAGTTATTAAGAGTGGAATGGCTGCATTCTTTTTAATAGCTCAAGATGAACATAATATTTAACCAAAAAAAACAAGGAAAAATAACAAATGAACTGATACAATAAAATTCAAAAATATTATAGTTTCTCTACCAAATGAACTTTCATCTGTTTTATTAGATCTGATGTTTGTACAAAATCTTTTAAACACTCTGAACACTGATATGGTTTTCTTGTGTATGAGTTCTTATATGTACTATTAAATCTGATTTTTTCTTAAACCCTTTAAGACACTCTGAGCACTGATATGTTTTTTCTTTTGAATGAACTTTCAAATGTGAAGCTACATGTGATTTACGTGAAAAGCTTTTTAGACACACTGCACATTGATATGGTTTTACCTGTCTGTGAATTTTCACGTGTCGTATTAGATGTGACTTACGTGAAAAGTCTTTTTGACACTCTGAACATTGATATGGCTTTTCTTGTGTATGAATTCTCATGTGTCTTATTAGATCTAACTTTTGTGAAAAGCCTTTTAGACACACTGCACAATTATATGGTTTTACCTGTCTGTGAATTCTCATGTGTCGTACTAGCTGTGATTGATGTGAAAAGCCTTTTTCACACTTTGTACACTGATATGGTTTTTCTTGTGAATGAACTCCTACGTGTTGCATTAGAGATGCTCTTCGTGTAAAGGCTTTTAGACACACTGAACACTGAAATGGTTTTTCTTGTGTGTGAATTCTGATGTGTCGTTCTAGATGTGGCTTTTGTGAAAAAGTTTTTAAACACTCTGTACATTGATATGGCTTTTCATGAACTCTCATATGTAATAACAGAGATGACTTTTTTGAAAAGTCTATCAGACACTCTGCACACCGATATGACACTTTTTGTGTATGAATGCTCATTATTCGTACTACCTTCAATTAGTGTGAAAAATCTTTTAAGATATTCTAAGCACTAGTATGATTTTCGTGTATAAACTCTTATGTGTTGTAATCAAGATAACTTCTGCATAACATCTTTTACACTCTAAATATTTAATATGGTTTTTCTTATGTGTGAACTCTCATGTCTAGTATTAGATACAATTTTATTAAAGTCTCATACTATCAATACATTTTTCTTGGGTATTAACTCTGTATTATATTAGATTTGATGGTATAGAAAACTCTTTTAACCTTTTGGAACACTGATATGGTTCTGTGTCTGAAATCAGTATTATCTTAGTCATTTATTACAATACACCACTCACAGTCAGTAGAGAAAGTAATGCAGATTATTCACTACAATAATCTGTGCAAGTCAATAAATAACAATCTTACATAACCCTGTGTATTATATTCTGGAGAACTGGCTATGTAACATTCAACTGTTTAACGAAGACTAAGAGTATAGCTATAAAATATTAAATTATCTTTACTCACTCTATTAGGAGTCAATATAAATGTCTTGCAAAGTAATTAAACAAATTTTTACATAATAATCTTAGATTATAAATTATAATAAGGTTCAACACAACAAATGCTGATAATGTATGTGAAATACCATATCAATATAAGTAAACTACATCAATAATTGAACTTATGCCCACTAGTTTATGAAGATGGGAATATTGATGCCTGTAGACTTCATATCCATGTCTATACAGTATTTCAGTAGTGTATGGGAACTTATATCCACTGGTTGTTGAAGTGGGTGTAACTGCCAGAACGAGGTAATCATTATGATACAAGTATAAACATTCGGAAGATATTTATGACAATGTGGAAATTACATTGTAGACATTCTGCAAAATATTTACCACTTACATCATTTACACTGTGCTGGGTGATGGTGCTGCAACTAAGTCTTCCATTGTGACAAACTGCAAATGGAAAGGATACAAAATTAGCTAAAAACTGAAGATAATTAAGATTTTGATCAAACATTTAAAAAAAATTTCCTAATTAACTGATGTATATTTTGAGTGCATTTTTGAGAGTTCATGTTTTTATGATGAAGACTAATAAGAAACCAGGTTATTATTCTTTTTTTAATAAAACAACCATCTTCTACCGAAGCAGGGCGACCCAAAAAAATGAAACTTCCACCATCATTCACTCCATCACTGTCTTCCCAGAGGGGCACCAATACTACTGTTCATAAATAACTCTTCAAAACTGCAAATATGGGGATATCCTCATTCAGTGATGACACTGTACTTCCCACCCACAAGGGTAATGCAGCACTACAGGGCAGGATGTGCTAAAGATGTAATGTGCAAAAATCAGAGACCAGCAAAGGTTAGAAAGACACACAGGCAAACACCAGAAAGACGCCTAAGCATACACTAGGACATATTAGAAAAAGTTTTGATCCTGGGACCTTCATCACATCTAACATTAGAGAGGTTAAAAAGACAGTATATATAAGCATCACTGACAATGGCATTGTTGAATTCAACAATACCAAAGTCACCCAATTCACTGACAACGTTATCCATGTAGTGTCATCCACCCCCATATCTGGAAAAAACAGTCACATAAGGGCAATCGAGAAAATGAATGTGGAACTGCAAAGAACAGCCAACTGAGAAATGGAGAATTACTTTCAATCTAGACAAAATTCTCATCAGCACCATCGGATGTTTTGCCCCAACTATTGACAACAAGGAGGGTATCTCCACCAGAGGTACACCTATCACCATCTGAAACCTAAACAAGATCCTGGGATATGAAATCTACAGATTACTCCACTCCACATCTCACATCTCCAAAAAGGTGAACTTAGCAAAAGTCCACCTCAGCCAACTATACAGGTTTAACCCTTTCAGGGTTTCTGACGTACTAGTACGGCTTACGCACCAGGGTTATTGATGTACTAGAACGTCTAAATTCTAGTGCCTTCAAATCTAGCAAGAGAAAGCTGGTAGGCCTTCATATGAAAGAATGGGTCTATGTGGTCAGTGTGCACAGTATAAAAAAATTCTGCAGCACTCGGTGAATAATGAGAAAAAAAAAAAAACTCCGTGTTTTTGGTTTAAAACAGCGACTCTGCAGTGTATTTTTGTATGGTATTTATGATTTTATTCTAGTTTTCCTGGTCTCATTTTATAGAATTGAAGACATATTACAGAAATTGAGATGATTTTGATTGGTTTCACAATGAAAAGTACCTTGAAATTGAGTTCAAAGTAGCAGAAATGTTCAATTTTTACAAAATTTCAAAAGTAAACAAATCATGCCAAGCGTCCAATACATGTCAACTGGCGAGTCTAATATTCCTTCACAAGTGCACTGATATTATTTATACCATTTCTACACCATTTCTACACTAATGCAGTAGTCTGCATAACAGTAAATCTTCTATTTTTTGTGAGAATAAAAATTCAAAGTGGAAAGCAAAAGAGATGTAAGAGGGGCGTGGGAACGTGACTAGTGAACAGAGAAAATGTTATTTTAGTGCCAGGAATGTCTGTCTTGCTTATTCTGAACCCTATTTGGAAATTGGCATCTTCTGAAATTTGTGTGAAATTGGCAAATTTGCCAATTTCTGACCACTTTATTGGATACTTGAAATCGGTAAATAGGTGGTTTCTTGTTCTAATTCGATAGAAGAAATGGAGTTCTAGTGAAATAGACATGATTTTTGTCGACTAATATACTGAAATTGGCCGAAAATAGGGCTCAAAGTGGGCGAAATTGCCGATGCGTAAACATCACCGATATTGCTAACTTCACGAGAGCATAATTCCATAAGTTTTCCATCAAATTTCATACTTTTGGTGTCACTATGATTGGGAAAAGATTCTCTATCATTCCCAAAGAATTTTTTTTTTTTTCCGGAAAATTTTCTACCCTGAGAATGAGTTTAGGAGAGGAGCTCTCGACCCTGAAAGGGTTAATCAACCCCCTCCCACATCAATAAGTACCTGTACAAGATGATGATAAGACCTATGCTTGAGGGGCCATTGTCGAATTGGTGTCAACTTGTTTATTTGTTGACCTATTACGTTCATTTCTGGTGTACTATTACAAGCGTATATCGACCATGCTTTAATGAAGCTTCAGAAAGATCAGCCAAAAAGCAAATGAAAATAGCAAAATTTACTAAAAATTACATTTGGCAGCAGACCCCTACGAAGTGGTACTTGGAAAAGTGGTTTTGACACTGCTGATAGAACACTTGTAAGAGTACCAATTCTATAATAAACCTTATCTTCATTCTTAAAAAAAAAAAAAAAAAAAAAAAGTTTGGGTTTTTTGGACATATAGGAAGATATCAGCCTTGTTGCCCAGACAAATCTGAGAATATTTGGAATACAGTGGAACCTCTACTTGCGAGCGTGTCCACATGCAAGTTTTTCCAAATGCGAGCAGTCGATGGGTCGATTTTTTGCTTCCATACGCGAGCAAAATTTTCACAAGCGAGCAGACCTCAAGGCAGGTTCCTTGACAATGGTGAGGGGCTCTTGCTCTTGATCTCGGGAATTGTATCTCATTTGTTTGTTGGACTATCTTACTGAAACTTGATCAATGTATGATGGAAAGATGCTTCTTAACATACGCCAAAAATGAAAGAAATCTAAGAATAAATAAGGGAGTTCACTTTTCAGCAATTAGCCACCCCTTAGCAGTAATTTCGAATGGTTTTTATGATTGTATTCTCGTTTTTTTTGGTCTTATTTGATAGAATGAAAGATATATTACAGAAATAGATATGATTTTAATTGCTTTCATGACAAAAAGTACCTTGAAATAGAGCTCAACCTAGGGAAAATGGTCCATTACTTGGCAGTTTCAGAGTAAACAAATGACGTCACTGTCCATTCCAATATGCAGTCATGAATGGGTTGACATTATTTTTACAATTATTGCAATAAGGAATAACAGTAAAGCTTATATTTTTGTGAATAAAAATTACAATTTATATAATAATAACAATAATAATAATAATAATAATAATAAAAATAATAATGAAAGAAATCTAAGCATAAATAACGGAGTTCACTTCTCAGTAATTAGCCACTCTTTAGCGGTAATTTCGAATGGTTTTTATGGTTGTATTCTAATTTTTTTGGTCTCATTTGATAGAATGGAAGATACATTACAAAAGAAGATATGATTTTGATTGCTTTCACAATGAAAAGTGCCTTGAAATTGAGCTCAACCTAGGACAAATGGTCAATTCCTTGGCTGTTTCAGAGTAAACAAATGACGTCACTGTCCATTCCAATATGCAGTCGTGAATGGCTTGACACTATTTATACAATTATTGCAATAAGGAATAACAGTAAATCTTATATTTTTTGTGTGAATAAAAATTACAAATTTATATAATAATAATAATAATAATAATAATAATAATAATAATAATAATAATAATAATAATAATAATAATATAGGTAGTAGGTTGGTAGACAGCAACCACCCAGGGAAGTACAGTGGACCCCCACATACCGATTTTAATCCGTGCAAGAGGGGTCATTGTTATGCAAAATAATCGGTATGCGAATGAATTTTCCCCATAAGAAATAATGGAAATCAAATTAATCCGTGCAAGACACCCAAAAGTATGAAAAAAAAAATTTTTTTACCACATGAAATGTTAATTTTAGTACACACAAACTGAAAAAGGCATGCACACTTACATGACACTTACTTTTATTGAAGATCTGGTGATGATTGATGGGATGGGAGGAGGGGAGAGTGTGTGTTAGTGTTTAGAAGGGGAATCCCCTTCCATTAAGACTTGAGGTGTCGAGTCCTTTTCTGGGGTTACTTCCCTTCTTCTTTTAATGCCACTAGGACCAGCTTCAGAGTCACTGGACTTCTTTCGCACAACATATCTGTCCATAGTGGCCTGTACCTCTCGTTCCTTTATGACTTCCCTAAAGTGTTTCACAACATTGTCAGTGTACAGGTTGCCAACACGGCTTGCAATAGCTGTGTGAGGGTGATTTTCATCAAAAAAGGTTTGCACTTCAAGCCACTTTGCACAGATTTCCTTAATCTTTGTAGTAGGCAACTTCTTCAATTTCTCTCTTCCCTCCTCTGAACCAGTTTCCTCAGGTCTGGCCTCTTGCTGTTGAAGTTGATCTATCAGCTCATCAGTGGTTAGTTCTTCATTGTCCTCCTCCACCAACTCTTCCACATCCTCCCCACTAACCTCCAACCCCAAGGACTTTCCCAATGCCACAATGGATTCCTCAACTGGCATAATCCTCTCAGGGTTAGCCTCAAACCCTTCAAAATCCCTTTTGTCTACACATTCTGGCCACAGTTTCTTCCAAGCAGAGTTCAAGGTCTTCTTAGTCACTCCCTCCCAAGCCTTACCTATAAGGTTTACACAATTGAGGATATTAAAGTGCTCTCTCCAAAACTCTCTTAGAGTCAGTTGAGTTTCTGAGGTCACTACAATGCACCTTTCAAACAGAGCTTTTGTGTACAGTTTTTTGAAGTTTGCAATAACCTGCTGGTCCATGGGCTGCAGGAGAGGAGTGGTATTAGGAGGCAAAAACTTGATGTTAATGCATTTCATGTCCCCATAAAGTCGCTCTGCCACGTCTGTAGGATGACCAGGGGCATTGTCTAACACCAGGAGGCACTTAAGTTCTAATTTCTTTTCAGCTAGGTAATCTTTCACATTGGGGGCAAATGCATGGTGTAACCAGTCATAGAAAAAGTCCCTAGTGACCCATGCCTTACTGTTTGATCTCCACAGCACACACAAATTATCCTTGAGGACATTCTTTTGCCTGAACGCTCTGGGAGTTTCAGAGTGATACACTAATAAAGGCTTAACTTTGCAATCACCAGTAGCATTGGAACACATCAACAAAGTAAGCCTGTCTTTCATAGGCTTATGTCCTGGAAGTGCCTTTTC